GAAGGATCTAGGAACAAACCTATTTTTCACAGCGCCATTTTTTGTGATCCCTGTGCCAATGAAGCCGTCAATGTTAATATTGGTCCGCTAAAATCAATTTTAGCTGTTCCGGTTTTCCTTCATTTGGATTCATATTTGGGGTAGAAAAAATATTCTATGAAAAATGATTCGGATATCTATAATTTGGAGTTAATTTGGCTCTCCCTCGCTATAATTTCATCTTACCACCTGAAGCAGATGAACAACAAAATCTTCAATTTTCTTCCACACGATGAAATCTGACCATAATAAGATTGAGATGAACAGAAGATAGAAAAATGCAATGCAATAACAGTACTTAGAAAGTCTTAGGTACTTACAAAAATCATATTTACCAGAATATCTAATATTCTTGCAAATCTCATGTCATATCACATGCACAAACTTCATTTAATACCCTCAACATTTGGCAAACCAGCCACTTTAACAAAAGTTTTTAGAATAAGTATTTAGAACACAATCTAAATTGATATTAGATCTTCCAATAAATGAAAATAAACCAAATAAAATGAAGGAATCATTGTGGCAACCAGGAGGGTGAAGCAGCAAGTGAGCACCAGTGAGCAAAAATTATTTGATTTGTAGTGGCAGCAATGGGTCGTAAGAATTTAAAAAAAAAATAAAAAAAAACTACACGAATATGTTCCAACAGAGATGGCACCCATACACTAATTCTATACCAGCAGTACTATTGTGAACAAAAATCTACAATTTTCGTGAATAATTTAGGGGAAATCGAGAAAAAATCAGTTGGCCAACTCAGTAATTAAAAATTTGACAACAATGAAAAGAAACCAACATTTCCGACAAATTTTGGAGCAGAACCAGATGAAGTGAATCATAAATTTCTAGGGCAAGAAAAAAAGTGGAAGATAAAGTAAATCATGTCTATTTGAAATCAAGCGCAAATGCCAAATTGGTGAACATGAGATGAATTAGAACAGTAAGATTGGCAAAAGTGATTTTTTTTAAACTCATGCTGAAAATGCACAATAATGTGTAAAAGCTGCAATATATTTTAGCTTGTTCACGTTTTAAACTATCTAACA